CCTCTGAGATGTAGTACAGTATAAAGTACAACATGTACCTCTGAGATTTAGAGGAAAGATGTACACGATGGAAATACTCAAGTAAAGTACCTCAAATGTTTTCTGAAGTACTTCAGTTAATGTACTTTGTAATGACAGAGTAATTAGAGGGCGGAGCCAGCTGTGACTCACCTTGATGATGAAGACAGTGGCAGCACATTTAAAGTGTAACATAATGAGGTGTTTTACCTGGAGGGCTGCTGTGATTGGTTGGTGACCGAGCAGGAGACGCACTCCTACTGGTCATCAGCGGTGCAGGGGGAGGGGCCAGCGCTGTGTATTTTTGGGGAGAAAACAGTCAGACATGATTAATGTATTTATACTTCTTAAAGCAGCCATGAACACATCTGTGCACACACACACACACATATATTAGATATGCAAAAGAGCATCTAAAAGAACATTTAGTCATATGATGTTGGATATTAAAAAATAACGCCGTATGCTGTACAAGACCAAGACTGTATATTGCAAAATGTACTCACCAGACCATTATATTTATTTATATATAATTCAGAAAGGCTACTATAAACTGTATTGAATGCAGCAATGATGTATATACGATGTAAAGGCTTCATATGCACACAATGTGAATGACGTACTGCAGCAACAATGACAGATCAATGCAAATATTTATTTAAAAAAATAGGATGCTCGATGCTTTCCCATTTTAGAGGTGACATCATTATTTTAAATGCAAAGTACAAAGGATGACATAACGTTGCTTCATTTCAATCTATATTAGTTCAGTGTTATCAGGAAGTCATCTGGTTAAAACTAGGTGTGTACATCTGCAGTACAAGTACATTAAAACACCCATTTTGTGTACATTTAATGGTATATAAGCGAACAAAAGGTATCTCTTCCTCACCTGTCATCTCGGTGCAGCTAGGGGCCACTTCGGTCATTTCAGACGACGAGGATGATGCTCATCAGACGGACCTGACACGAGCCAGAGAGCCGTTAAGAAAGAAGAGCCGCACAGGAGAGCTCCGGTGCTCCGCAGTGACTCAGGGAAAAAAGGACGGAGGACAATATGATGCTAGGAGAGAGGAGAGAGGAGAGAGGAGACGGAGAGGGGAGGAGGGGGAGGAGGTGGAGGACCATATGCCTTCACAGCTAGCTTAAAAGATGATGTAGCTACGTTTTAAAAACAAGTATAACTGACAATCAATGGCGGAGAAGAAGAAGAAACAGTTGGGGTCTACTTTTTCCCTACCTAAAAAACATACCGTTTGACAGAAAAAAAATAGAACTATTATTATTGGGATGTGAATGTTTCTCTTGCCACCCCCCCAAAAAAAAACAATGAAAGATTTAAACATGGAGAATGCATTAAATTAATGTGGAATTATGTCGTCGCGGTCCCGTAAATGTTGTCTGCCTACAAACAAACCTGTGAACCGCTTCACACACAGTTGGCTTATTTGCATATTAATGCGCCAAAAAAATGTATGTACCACTCACGCCCGTTATGCGTCGCCTAGCAACCAGCTGCTCAAGTCTGTCTCTCTGTCTGTCTGTCTCTGTGTCTGTCTGTCTCTGTGTATGTCTGTCTCTGTGTGTCTCTGTCTGTCTGTCTGTCTCTGTGTGTCTCTGTCTGTCTGTCTGTCTCTGTGTGTCTCTCTGTCTGTCTCTGTGTGTCTCTCTGTCTGTCTCTCTGTCTCTGTCTGTCTCTGTGTGTCTGTCTGTCTGTCTCTGTCTGTCTCTCTGTCTCTGTCTGTCTCTGTGTGTCTGTCTGTCTGTCTCTGTGTGTCTGTCTGTCTGTCTCTGTCTGTCTCTCTGTCTGTCTACCTGTCTGTCTGTCTCTCTGTGTGTGTCTCTGTCTGTCTCTCTGTGTGTCTCTGTCTGTCTCTCTACCTGTCTGTCTGTCTCTCTCATGCCCAGTCACGTGCCTTGATTAGGCGCCGCCCCTTTGGATCGTGACGGAGCGCACGTGCCAGGCACATGCGAACCCCCCCAGCGACTGAGTTACGTCATATTTAAAAAACAAACCGAGGCTCAGGCTGCTGTTGACGTGCAATATGGGTCACACACACACACACACACACACACACACACACACACACACAGCCAAGTCAAATGGAAGCTCTAAAAATAACTAAGTATTTGTTATTATTAATGGAAACCATCAGGAAAAGGGTCAGTGCTGAAAAATCCCTTATGTTTATATAGATTATATAGATTAATACTTATCACTACTTTGTCTATTTGTGTCTGTAGATTTTCTCCTCAATTCACCAAATGTTACCATCAGATAATGAATCATTTGCATATTTAAACATAACATTACAGAGGTCTTGTAATACTAAAAAATCATTGTCTTAATGTCAGGAATGAACTGGTGAAGTTTCACATTGATATCTTTTATTTTTCAGAGGGCGTCTCCCTTAAATATAAAAATAAATAAATTTATTTAAAAATAAATATAAAAACAGTATTAATTAATACATAAGAAATTTATATGAAAATACATATATATCATATTTCATTCCATTATAGGAGAAGAGAAAGTGAAAAGCACACAGAAACAAACGGACCAGAGATTGGGGATGCAGAGCTTTGCTCAAGGGCACATCAGCTCATGTTTGTGTGTCTTCCCTCTGAAGACAGAAATAGCATCAGGACGGACATCAGGAGGGACATATTGTCCTCAGTCAACACGGACGCTGTCGGCCTCGAACTCTGGAGGTTGTGAGGTCGCTCCATCAGAAACATGACCCTCTTCAGCTCGATGTCGCCGCCTTCAGACCGGCGCAGGAAGCTGCGTGTAGCGCGCCTAAAAACCACCACGCCAGCTCAGTGGAGTTAAGATCTTTATTGGAAACCCAGCCTTCTTAAACATCATGGTACATTTGTTTTTTCTATTAGTTCAGAGTTACAGCGACGGGCCCCATGTGGTCTAGAGCGGTGGTTCCCAAACTGAGGTGCAGGGGCCCCATCAGGGAACATAAGGGGACCAGAGAGGTGAGGAGGAAACAAACAACTTTATACCTGGTATATGTGGTAAATGTGATGTGAAATTTGCCATTTTTGTTGTTAGAAGCAAAAAAAAAAAAAAAAAAAAAGTTTTAAAAAAAGGTGAAAATCTAGCAATACATGCAGACATTGCCCCTGAATATGATGCTGTGATCAGCCTACTGTTGATCCTCCAACACACCGTGGTTCTAAAGCAGCGTCTCACTTTGCAGTCATGTCAACAAGAAACTCAAAAGGTTCTGTGTCCTTTCTTTCCTCCTCTCTTGAACTCCTCAAAAAAAAAAACAACAAAGACGTCTACTGGTGGTTAGACTGGAATAGATTGAAACGTATTGACTGGACTGGACTGGCATAGGCTGATCTTAATAAAAAATAATCGTCATCGCTGCGGCCTATCGGCTCAAAATATTCCAACGGGAGCGTCTCTTAGTAAAATCACACGTTCATCCTCCAGGAGCGGGTCTTTAGATCTGGAACACAGAGAAAACAGGATTATTATATAACTTCTATTCTGCTTCAGTCCAGACAACGTTTAGTTTGTCAGAACTTCTTTTAAAAGACAAGTTCATCTCTTAAAGTAAGCTTCATAAAAGTACTATAATAGACACCCAAGAAGAGCTAATTATGAAATAAAAAAGGCGCTTACATCATCAATGTCTTCATCATCGTCGCCAATGTCATCAAACTGGATGTCTTCATCGTCTCCGGGCCCGAAGGTGTCCGTCTCGTTGATTTTGGCTGCGAGAAGGAAGACGGAGGAGGCGATTGTCAGAAAAGGAAATACTATATACATACTATATACTACATAATGTTTCCACTACACAGTGAGGCTCTCTGCCGTTTAAAAGTCAGATACTTCACAGGTTTCACTTTCCTTTACGCATAAATTAAGGAAGTAAACAATAGCAGTCTGGTGATCAAGCTTCAGACACACTTTACCTCGGTTTCCTCTATAAATATAAGCACTATGAATATAAGCACTATGAATATAAGCACTATGAATATAAGCACTATAAACACTGCGTTGGTTTGACTCACCGTGCTCGGGCAGCTCTCCGTACGCTTTCAAACTGCGAGCCTCGTCTGCGTTGTACTTGAGGATGACGTCGGCTTTGTTGTCCTGAAACACAAGTCGAGGAGTTTTAGTGTTCGGCTTAAACTTGTTGCTGTTTTAGTGATAAAAATGAGCAAATAAATGAGATTTAAATGACGTAGAACTGTCAACAAGTTGGGTCAGCTGAAGATGAGTGTACCAACACCATGTTACACAGGTGAAAGACTGGGGTAAAATAATATTTAAATGTACAGGGATTATTAAAATGATAATCCTCAATATATTTTAGTCTTGGGCTTTTATTGTGAAAGGTAACAGAAGGAGTAAAGCTGTATGTGTTGCTGTTAAAGAGCGTCTTTTCCTAAATGACTAAATAACAGAAAGTACTTTGTGGCTGTTTGTGTTGTGATGCTCTGCTTACATTAAATATTTATATTTTTCATGTATTTCGCTCCTCTCGTCTGCGCAATGCATGATGGGACGTACTGCTCGGTTAGTGACCATCGGTTTGTACACTACTTTTCCCGCAATGCATTGTGGGATACTTTTGAGTCCGATGTACATTCAGAACAGCGCTACAAAACGGTGAACTCACTACACGGAGAGAAGCAAGTGATTTAGAACACAACGAGTCCAATAAATTCAAGACATTTGTTCTTATTTCTTTCATTTCAGAGCTCAGAAAGCCTAAAAAAGATGGCTGCTACAGAAACACGTCTGATCAACACACACCTGGTAATCTCTCAGCCCCACCAGGATGATGTCCGACGTGTTAATCCAAACCTACCGGGGGGACGACACAAAACAGAGTGTCATACAGCAACACACTGCACTTTGTGACACACACATACAATTGAGAACACGCCGACTCAGCATTACGTCGGGAGGTTTTCCTGTCGGAGGACGGTCGGGATGTTTCTACCTTTTTCCGGAGTTTTCCTCTAATGTGGCAAAGCCGCTTGGTTCCGTCGAAGCACATGGCCTCCAGACGTCCGTTACCCAGCATCTTAATCACCTGAGCGTATTCTGAAAGAGGAGAGAGGAGACGAGGGTTAATCCCAGGAGAGAGGAGACGTTCACATCACACTGTTGTTTCTGTTTCACCGAGACATCACGAGGAGGTCCTTACAGATAAAAAAAGAAGCCAAATATATGAAATAAAATACATATATAAATAGTTAATAACAAGGTTGTCCTGGTGTGTTTAATAGAGTCCTGCCTCAGTTGAAATAAAACACATTAATGTCTTAAATTATTACAGTTTTATGAAATATATTATACGCTTTAGTGGCATTGAATATAACTTAAAACATTATTAGTGTTATTGGGGCAACGCTCGAGTGTCTGACAACTTATAAACCTTTTCTGTGACTGATTTAATAGAAAAGTGCAGGATGAAGGTTCTACTGTTGTATTTGTACAACTCAACAAAGGTATTAGTACAACAGTGAAGGAAGAGAAGGAGAGATTTTTGCATGAAACAAGCAAAAAGAGTACGCTTTAAATAAAAATACATATTTAGTCACATGACCAGCTGGACATCTTTAGGCTTTTTGGGTGTTTGTTGTTTTTATTATCTGCTCTGGCTTTTCAAATTTTTTGTACACAGACATGGTAGTAATAATAACAGCCCAAATATATGTAAAATTGCATATTTCTTATTAGAATATCTCCCACAAAGCCAGAGAAACATGCTCATGTCATCAGCTCACCGAACAAACTGCATTGACTAAATTAATTACACATATTGTGAGATTTTATTATTCATCTCATTTGCTACAACCTGCTGAATTTACCTCTATCAACTATTAGCCAAATCATTGTTTTATTCAACTATTGACTGATTGAGTGTTAAAACTTTATGTACTCGTGAAGATGCATCTGCCTTTCACAGATTTCTCGTGTAAATTACTGATCAGAATGATTTGATCAGCTAACAGGCATACCAAAGAGTTACTTCAGTTACTCGCTCCAGAGAACACATGGATCTTTAGTGAACCGTCTTTGGTTAAACTTTTCTCTTCTGACCCCCAGACCACCTGAAACCAGAACCTGAACCAGAACTCACCCTGTCCGTCCTCTTTGAACACCAGCTCTCTCTTCTCAGACTCATTCTCGTTCTTTCCACGTCGCCGATTCTTTCCTCCCTTTCCTGTAAACACAGACAGGAACTCATCAATTAATGTCTATTCATTCAGAGTTAACGGCGTTCATCAGTCAGCTCAGAGTTCCAGTTAAGTTTACTTCTTGCTGTGACAGTTTTTACACACTTCCTCCACAGATAAACAGTAAATACTCATCAACACAACATTCAATTAAATTCCAACGAGCAATGGTTAAATGTAAACAAGGATATTTACTCAAGTACTGTAATTAACTACACATTTATATATCTATCTATATAAATACTATCAACAACAGGAGCTAACGTGTAAGTTACCTGCTAGTTTGCTAATCTAAGTGACATTTATAGAGACGTTACGTCCAAATTAGATCTTTAAAATGATTGTAATAACCTGGCTACTTTATGTTATCAGAGATTAATTTAGGAAAAATCTGAAGTCACGAGCCACATCCAGGGTCGGGTTTAAACAGCAACTAGCTTAGTTAGCTGGGTCAGCTAGTAGCAACTAGCTAGTTAGCTGTGTCAGCTAGTGACGGCATTAAACTACCATGTATGTTAGCTAGCTGCTAGCCTAGCAGGCGCAAAGTGTTTAAAAACATTAACTAGCCGAAACGAACTTTATTATTATCTCAGCCGAATTCATACTTAGTGAAGAGGCTACACGTAGGCACAGCTGACGGGTGAGTAAAATACGTTTAATTTGTGTTAATAAAGGATAAATTAAAAAATCCGAGATGCTAACTAGCGTTAGCTTGTCGGTGTCACGTTTCACTGCGTGTGTCTGAGCGGCGGACTCGACAGACAATTAAACAACACTGAAAACACACGTGCTCCTCCGTCTCTTACCTTTATTCTTGGGCATATTCTTTCACGCCTCGGTCACGTTAATCCCGCTCGGTAGAAACGACTCACGGTTAAACAATAACTGTACAACAGTCAGATCTAAACTGACTGAACGGCACGAGAAACTAGCTGGTCACCGTTTGATACGCTCCGCCGGTTTGCGCATGCGCCTGCCAAGGCATTCTTCTTCTTCTGGTTTTACGGTGGTTGGCATCCATCTTATTGGTGCATTACCGCCACTTTCTGCTCCGGAGTGTGGATCAGACAATAGACTTACAATATTTACCCCCAAAAAAACACAGCAGGTCTGGAGTATAAAGAATAAAACCAATGTGGCTGAGGTGGCGACCTTCAATATACAGCAACTGGAACTTTTTTTTTTTTTGCTGGCAGAAAAAAAGTTGAAAAAAAATAATAATAATCATTTGTTTCCGCCAGCAAAACAAAATTAAATCTTTTTTTTTTTTTGGCTGGTGGAAATGGGCTTCTAGAATTTATTTTATTTTATTTTATTTTATTTTATTTTATTTTATTTTATTTTATTTTATTTTATTTTATTTTATTTTATTTTATTTTATTTTATTTATTTTATACTATAAGTAAAAGACATCGTGATCAACACTCCACACCAGTTGGTAGCGGTAATATACCAATTCATTGTTTGCCAACCGCCAATAAACCTCAAAGAAGAAGAAGAAGTAGTTCGCAGAGTGAGTGCAGCGCTGTACTCCTCCGCGCCACCAGGGGGCGGAAGTGGCTCCGGTTCATTGTTTGTGTGTTTATTTCCCCCAGAAAGAAAACAGACATTTTGGGGTTAGCTGAGGCACTGATCGAGACCTCCTCCTGCTAAACTATCCTCTCCTTCACAACATTTACACGTGCGTTTCAACTCTCTGTCGTTACCGATAAATAATTATAAAGTTAAAGAATATAGTTATTTACGGTGGGAAACTCGTGGTCACACGTTAGCCACCTGGTTGCTAAGTGCTAAGCTAGCTGCAGTGTTTGTAGCTCACCAGCTTCACCGAGGTTTGGCTGTGATGGCTGACTTCAGCAGCTGGGTCACGGTGAGTTTGTTTATGTATTTAAAACATGGAGATAAGTGTTGTCTTCTTCTCTCTGGACTAAAACATAAAGTTATATGTTAACGTCTTGTTGTAACACAGTAGTAGAGCTGAGAGGTAACTAAGTGTGTACTTAAGTACACATTTGAGGTACTTGTACTTTTCATGCTACTTTCTGCTCTACATCTCAGAGGGGAATGTTGTACTTTTTACTTCACTAAATATATCTGAAAGCTTTAGTTGTATATAATGGTTATATTATATATCGTTATCATTAATAACTCTCCTATTATTACTACTCTTCTTCCTCCTCGTATGTATATATATATATATATTATTGATAAACATAAATCAACTCATGAATTATGATTTAATATTATAATTAAACTACCCAGCAGTATATGAAGTAATTAAAATCAGCTCCACTGTTACCAGCTGCTACATTAAAATGCACATTCATGCGTCAATAATTATAATACATTATTCTGAATAATGAGTACTATAATCTTTAGTACTTCAACTATGTTTTGATGCTGATACTTTTGTACTTTTTATCAAGTAAACATTTTAATTGTAGTATTTCTACACTGATATATGCATATCTGAGTACTGTATCATAATGTTTTTAATGATATTAATCAGAATTTCCCTTTTTAAGCAAAGACATTTGAAACAGACAAACATCACAACAATACAAAAAACATAAAATAGTACCAACAAACATTAAACTCTGTTCTTCTCGCGTTCAGCCGTTGGCTGACGGCCCGGCGGTCCGAGTCGTGTCTGCAGGGAAAGCGTCGTCGTCCTCCATCAGGCCGGGAAACGGAAGCTGGGGCGCCGCCGGCGGGATGGACCAGATAACCGTGGTGAGGATAGACGACACGCACATCGCCGAGGAGCGGTCGGTGAAAGCTACGGCGGCAGCATGCTACGAGGTGGAGTACTCGATGCCCACCGAGGAGGAGGAGGCGGAAGAAGAGGAGGACGGCGTTTACGTCATCGAGTATTCAAATCCCGAAGAAGAGGGCGAGAGCTACCAGTTCATGATGTCCGTGGACCGGTCGCTCCCGGCGCTCAAACATCCCGCGGTGAGCGAGAATGCAACGGCTCCTCCTCTTCCTCCTTCTCCTCTTGCCAAACTGTCCCAGAGGCCGAGGCAGAAGAGGAAGCCGACGGCTGAGGAGGAGGCGAGGAGGAGGAAGCAGCAGCAGCAGTTCGTGAGCAACAAGTGTGTGCTGGAGCTCGGCGAGGACTACCGGGACGCCATGGACATGAGCTCGGACAGAGAGCAGCTGGTGTGCACGCTATGCCCGCCGCCTGGCCGCTCCTTCAAGAGGGCCTCCGGTCTGGCCGTCCACCTGAAACACATGCACCTCCTGGAGGGGAACAAGAAGTTCTTCTGCACGACCTGCAAGCAGCCAGTCCGCACGCAGATCGAGCTGGACGCCCACACCAAGAGGCACGCCAACCAGAGCGCCGTGTTCTCCTGCCTCCTCTGCCCGGAGACGGCGGGGTACAGAGGGTCCCGGCAGGGTCTGAGGAGACACCTGGAGCAGGAACACCCGGGCGTCGTCCCGCGCTGCCACGTCTGCAACAAGGGCTTCACCTCGCTGGTGTCCTACCTGGCCGACCAGTTCCGGCACGTCGGCGTGTCGCCCTACTTCTGCGCCCGTTGTCAGATCTACGAGATGACGGAGAGGGGGCTGAACGTGCACATCAGGAACCACGACAAGAAGAAGAAGGAGCTGCAGCAGCAGGAGTCATCGACTGGGAACCTCCCGCTGACGTTTGGAGGAGGAGCCAACGCCGACAACTCGGCCACAGACGACTCCGACTTCTGACACGCTTTGTTTTTAGGATGGACGCAGCGAGCCTCCTCTTTGTCACACCCGTCTGACATTTATGCATCTTCGGCTGCTCTGAACTGAACTTCTCATTTCTAGATTGGCCTCAAGTCGTTTGTAACTTGTACAGTTTGATGGATTCTTCTGTTCACGGTGTTCTCGGATACTTCTTTTCACAACCCGGTCTTTAAAGGAAGAGTTCGATATTTCAGATCTCCGTTTATGAGTCACATAATAAGATCAACACCACTCTCAGATACTTACTTATGTTGATGTATTACCAGAAAATAGTAAAAACTTTGTCTTAAAATGTTTTGTTTTTACGAGCAGCAGGTGAGAAGATATTCAGTTTATAACAAACCGCTAAATTAAAGCTGAATCCAGATGTTTGGGATGTTTTGGTTGAAATGCTCGAATGTAAAATAAGACCCAGGTTGTAAAAGAAGTGGGTGTTAACACTGTATTTGTTCTTCTTCGTTGGTGTCTGAGTCGATGCATGCGTGTGTAAATATTTACTCAGCTGAGGGAGTAACTCATCCTGCTGCTTCTCCAAACACTTTATTCTGACTTCCTGTCCACGGCCGTCCTCACTCAACACGTTTCATGTAATATGAATATTATTAAGGATCATCAGCCTCCATTAAGTGGTTAAATGTGGAGGGGGGGGAACAAAAATGGACGCCAAAGTCGCCCTTTTTAAAGTTTGAATGAGTTTTATTTTTAACGTTTTAAAGCATCAATCAGTGAACATGTAACGATGTGGTGCGTTCAGGGGCTCCTGGGAAACTCTGATGTCTGGGTTTTTATTTTCAAAGCAACAGAACTCATAACTTTGATGCTTCCTGCAGTCAGACTTTAGACGTTTGATGCTTTTTATAAACCATATGTTGTAATTAGTCCTCGATTCTCACTGCAGCGACACAAAGACGACTTCAAATAAGAGCTAATCATTGTGAGGATTTAAATGATTAAAAAAAGAACGTTTATGATTTGCAGTAAACTGGATAGAGAATAAAACACGTGATGATCAGGTGATTGTATCTTTCTTTTTGCACGTAAACATTTTCTCTTAAATTGTCGTCTTTTCCTTCTGGAGGTTGTTGAAACTGTTCCGGAGCTTTCGATCGGATCACATGGTCTTCAGTTCACTCAACGACAGCTGGACAAACTCCGCCCACTGAAGAAGATCATGTGACGTGATCGAAAGCTCCAGAACATCAACAGACAATAAACTTTAGTGAGATTATTTTGTCAAATCCTAAAATCTAAATCTGATGTAAAAAGTTTACTCAGAAAATATTTAGAAGTTTGATTAAATAATTTAAATCTACATTTAAATATATTTTCAAATGTTTGAAAGATAATTTAAGTTTATGAAGTAAAAATACCAAAAGTTTGAAGATACCACTTTAGATTGAAAGTGATTTTAAAATGAATTAAAAAATACAAATTTAATTATTAAATAACGATGAAAATAAACATTTTGTCCGGTGACGTCGGTGAGAACTTGTGACTCAATTTCTTACAATTTCAGTGATTTTTCTTTCTCAGATTGTTTCATTTGAAGGATTTTTTAAAGGTGAATGTTTCCAGTATTTCCCCCCAAAAAAACGAATTATTTTATTTTTACAGTTTTGTGTAACAGAAATATAAATGTTTCTTCTCCCCGACATCATCTTCTGACCCTCAGATTTACATTTGGACCCCATTCGGGGCCTCAACCCACAGATTTGGCACCATTGAGGTCTCGTGTTTAAAAACACTAAAATAAACTACGTTTGGTGCCGAAACACGAGATGAAAATATTATGAAATCTTTGTAACGTATTTTGTTCTTTGTTGTAGAGATTTAATTTCTTTGTGTGTTTTTAATATTCTGACATCATTAAAGAGGGAAATACCACAGATTTATGTTTGTGTTGTTTTACTCACCAGTATTCAGGTTTAATACTGAATATATATATTTATATATTCATACTGAGGTCTTCTGGACTGTTTGATAAAGAAACATTAAAGAAAGTTTACATTTTAATCTAAAAACGGCTCATTTTTGTTGTTTCTATGATGCTGAAATATCTCTTCCCTCATCAGTCTACAGTCAAAAACCTAAAATATCAAATTCATAAAGTATTCAGATCTTTAACTCCGGCAGAGATTAAAGTATCGAGTCTTCTCGGTTGTTGCACACCTGGATCTGGAGGGTCTCTGGTCTCAGGTCTCTGGTCTCTCACTGAGGAGACGTCTGGACACCAAAGACGAGGTACATGTACTTTACTTGAGTATTTAAAGTTTCTGATACTTTATACTACATATTGTACTTTTTACTGCACTACTTTTTTAAAAATATATATTTATTTGAAATATTTAGTTTAAGGTTACTTTGCAGATTCAGATTATTAAAACTAAATACGTATATTCAACTAATCAATGAAGTATTAATATAGATAAAACCACCCAGCAGTATTTAAATACATTTAAAATCACCAGTTGTGATATTAAATTATTAACAATGCATCAATCATAATTCAGCATACTTTTACTTTTGGCACTTTAAGTATATTTTGAAGCTAATACTTTCTACTTTCACTAAAGAAAAGAGTATTTCTACACCGCGGCTACTTTTACTTCAGTAAAATATCAGAGTACTTCTGTCTTTATTAAACACAACTTTATATTCTTTTGAGGTGAAGCTTTGTGCGAGAAAACGACAATAAAAACTTAATTTAAATAAATCTTTTCGTGACCTTTTATAAAGTGTTGAATGAGAGTCGAGATGACGTCATCAGCTGATTATCGTTTTATTGTTTTTAATAGAAAGTCCAACTCTCACTGCAGGTACAAAAACAGAGAGCTGGTGTAGCAGCAGGCTGAACGCTGACAGGGTCAGAGAAGAGAAGAAGAAGAAGAAGAAGAAAGCTATTCCCCAGTTCATAATTACAGAAAAACAAAAATCCTTTTACATTCCTTTATCCCAGAGCTGTACATCGACAGACGAGGAGAACATTGATAGATATATTTCATATTATATAAAAACAAATAAAATCTCAGAGCAGTGAAACTCGTTTCCCTTTTGGTTGACGGACGTTCAGACGACAGGAGGACGTTGGTAATAATCACAGGTTTTAGTTTCTCTGATTGTCTTCAGCTCAGGATGAACCAGGAGAGAGGAGCCGAAACACACAAAGCTTCATTTAAACAACACGGACGTTGTGGAATTAAAGGGCCAGTTCACCCAAAACTAAGCTTCACTACGCAGGTATTTCATTGGCTTCAGTTGTTGGGAACATTTAGAATAATAATTAAGGAGGAGTTTTATTAGTTGAATGAAAGACGCCGTTGCATTATGGGGGATGTAGTATCTAAAGGTCAGAATGCCTCCGCCGACTTTAACCCAAACTCGCATGAATGAATCAGAGGAGTTTCCTGTTAAGAGGACACATGTTGGTGAACTGACCCTTTAATTCTTGAGTAACACTCAACAGCAGTGTTGAAGCCTGACTACAGCCGTGGTGTTTGTTAAATGTGTGTTTTCTCTGCTACACTTTGAGTTTAAAGGGTTTTGCTCACAGAGGATCAGGAAGAGTTTGACTCCAAAACGCCAAATGAAACGAGTCGTTTGTGACAAAGAGAGGAAACGGATCGACGTGTTTGAAGCGTAACTCTTCTGCACGTCTGACGAACGCCTCCTCGTGTGCTGCTCACCTTCCTCACACCTGTGTGCTGCTCACCTTCCTCACACCTGTGTGCTGCTCACCTTCCTCACACCTGTGTGCTCATCTTTTATCCTATGTACACCTCTCTCCTCCTGGATACACACACACTCGCACACACACACACACACACACACACACACACACACATATACATTTATATATATATATATATATATATATATAAAAATGCATTGTCTTGATTCATAGAAACCTGAGTTGCTCGTACATGAATATATATATTTACAGTTCAGCTGCATTCAGAGACGGTTTGTTTGTGGAAGCAGAGAAGCTCAGCGGGGAACATGACGGGATCCCTTAAAGAGACGTTTCCTCGTGTGCTCGTTGTGCAAAATGTCTCCGTCTCCTCGAGTTAAAGCCGCTTTCATAGACGTTTCATTTACACTTACTGACGCGTATTAAAGCTGCACAAGGCTCATAAAACACTACTTATTGTTTCATCGTCTTTAGATCCTCAGAGGTGGAACGGAGCCAAGTACACTTTGACGTACTCGTACTTTACTCGAGTAGTTCTACTTCTTTATACCACATTTTACTGCATTTATCAGAAAGCTTTAGATGCTTCAGACAATTCATAGAAAATATAAAAAGTGAATTATGATGTATTATTATATACTTAAATAATATGCATTTATAATCAGGTACATTCTGCATAATGAGTACTTATTATTATTTAGTGTACTCATTCATTTTACTGCTACTTTTACTTTGTAGTAAAAGAGTACTTTGTCCACCTCTATGTTTTTTCTTGCATAAATGTACTTCAGTACGCGTACAGTACTGCGAGCGTCAGATTAGAAAGTAAAATAAGCGGAACAAAGATTTCTACGCCGTGTGCAGCTTTAAAAGTAAAAGAAAAAACAGAATAAATCAGAATCGGTTGAGCTTTTGTTCATATTTGAGCTCAGGTTCCTGAAACGTTTCGACGAGTCAACGGGCGAGAAACGAATAAGTGAATTAGTTTCACTTCAGGTAAAAGTATCCAAAGACCACGAGGAAGAAGCGGTGCAGCCGAAGGTTGCTGAAAGAAACGTCTTCTTCTCATTAAATCCCAATAAGAGTTTCAGTCTTTGCTCCGTTTATTCATCTCTGTGACAGACTTCTAAGACTTAAGAGACGAAACATTCAGATTTTTGTTCTTTGTGTTTTTTGCACCTGAATAGTTACACCTGGATTACAGGAAGTCTGCACAAAATGAATTTTCAAAACAAAACGAAGCTCCTGAGACTTTTTCTTTTATCCCAAAAACATAACAATGAGACTAAAAGCTTGTTATCAGCCTGACGTCTCTGCAGAGCAACATTTTGAGGGCTTCTCCGTAGAACCGTGATCTCAGAGGCTACTTGAGGTTTAAATACAGGGTGTACAGTATAATAAGAAGGGTCCTAGCTCTTTAAATGCATACAGTAGATTACCGTGTTCCTATGTTCTGAAGTGAATAAATACAGTACTTTTATTCTCCTGACGGCCGCTCGGTCTATGAGGTCTACGAGGCCGGCGCTGATTGTCCGAAGCGAAGACAGGAACAGGTTTAAGAGTACAGCGCAGGCTGTGGATCAGTGATGCTGGGAGAAATAACCGGCCAATCAGAAGCGTCCGTTGAGGTGCGGGGGGGCAGCGGGCAAGGGGGGCAATCTCTGCGTTCCTATTTGGCGTTAGCGGTTCCATCAGTAGTCTGTCCCAGAGAGAGGAGGAGGAGGAGGAGGAGGAGGAGGAGGAGGAGGTCACAGAGCGGTGGAGGTGATCTTCTTCAGACCCCTCCGCTGGGCCAGAGTGGAGCAGCCCACCGGCTCCAGGACCGGAGGGACGTTCCTGCTGAGGGCCGAGTAGGTGGCGGCCATCGCTCCCTGAGGGGACGAACACCACAGAGCTGAAACTACTGATCCAACAACGAGTCACTACTGACACAATAATGTGTGTGTGTGTGTGTGTGCGTGCGTGTGCGTGCGTGCGTCACCTTGACCAGGTGTGGGGCGTCCTGTCTGTTGAGGGTGTATTTGGGCAGCTGGTCTCGGTGCGTCACCCACGGGTGTCGGAGGACCTGACCCGCCGTCAGCCTCCGGTGGGGGTCCACGTGGAGCATCTTGGACACCAGGTCCTGAGTGGGGTCAGAGGTCACGCGTGAGCTCATTCAACAACAGAAATCTAAAATCTAAAAATATATGAAAGTTACACCTGTTTGATATTTGTTTACTTGTCTTTAGTCGATATCTAATTATGTCTCTCTTCCAGTTTTTTTACAGATTTGTGTATCATAAAGACCCCCCCCCCCCCCGGAAGTTCAACGAGGCAAAGACGACGAAGAGGAAGACCTCCGGTTTGTCTTCTTGCTTCTAGTAGTATACAAGTGTACAAAATAAAGTACAAGTGAAGTGCCTTTGATTTTACTTGAGTAAGATGAATGAGAAAACGTAGCAGGGTTCACTGCAACTGTCTCTTTATTTGTTTTTACACTTCGTTGTTGAACCACAGTGTGTGTGTGTGTGTGTCTGTCTGTGTGCGTGTGTGTGAGTGCGTGTGTGTGTGTGTTCACACCTTGGCCTCTGCAGAGACAGAGTTCCAGTATCCTCCAGTTAGAGAGAACTTCCCGCTGCCGATACGAGCCAAGATCTCCTCCGGCGTGTCCTCCGGTCCGTTAGCGAAGGGAGTGAACCTGAAGGTGACGGGAGAGATTATGACTTTATTATTATTGCTATTATTAACCTCAGTGCGACAGTCTCCAGCAGCAGCACCAGGTTCATTCACAGCATCTCCTGATAACTTATGTCTGATGTTCATAAACTGTGTTTACCCCGTCAGCATCGTGTAGAGCAAGACTCCCAGACTCCAGATGTCACAGGCGGCGTCGTAGCCCTGCTTCTTCAGCACCTGACGCAAACACAGAGAAACGATCACGAGAACAAACTAAACATCTGTCCTCACACGGCTGTGATGAGAACGATAACAGAGCTGAGACACAGAGGTCATTCGTACCTCGGGCGCCACAAAGTTGGCGGTGTAACACGGCGTCATGAGCAGACCGTTCTCCGCTCTCAGCTGTTTGGCGAAACCAAAGTCGCAGATCCGGATGGACTCGGCGTTCCCGCTTTCGTCCACGTAGAGGATGTTACTGGGCTTCAGGTCTCTGTGCACCACCTGCAAGACAGGAAGCAGCTTCAACTTCAGAGACCTCAACATTCCTGCTGGTCAGAGCTGGACTGTGTCCAGACAGACGTCTCGGAGGACGACTGTCTGTGTCTGAAGTGATGCTTTTATTTTGTAGAAAGTGTCTTCACCAACAGATGTTATTTAGTTTAGGACGTGGAGAACAAAACGCTGTTCAAGTGAAAGAGACAAAGATCTTCTGAGCAACAACTAGATGAGAAGAGAAGGAATCAGCATTCAGGAAGCTGAGATTCAAACAGGAACAGCTTCCTGTTTCAATGGCAAGAGTTTCACAATAAAAGCAGCCTAGAACAAGCTGGAACTAACAGGCAACACAACAGAAACAGAAGGTTAGTGTCGAGTTATCTCTACTGGAATATCAGCTGAACTAATCACAGTTCAAACCTCTTCAATCAGAGACCTCTTCATTCTAACAAAACTATTTCCAATATAAATAATAAGTCTGGTGTCTGAATTATACTGTTTTTATCTCCGTTACAATCAGATGTAATTCCACCAATGAGTGCATTAAAGTAATAAAGGATTGTCCTGCGTCTCTCTGTCTTTACGCATCGCCTCATCGTGAACCACTACAGATGGAGATCTCACCCCCTGTACGTGCAGGTACTCCACCGTCTTGGTGATGGTGTAGAGGACGGCGCTGGCTTCTCGCTCCGAGAAGAACTTCTGTCGCAGGATTTTGTCGAGCAGCTCGCCTCCTTTCATCAGCTCCGTCACCAGGAACACCGAGCGGCCGTCGTCGTACACCTACGGGACGGACGAGCAGGTTTTACTCAAACGGTCGACAAAAAAAAAGGTGTGACAGCAGTAAAGAGGATTAAACTTTGTACATAAAACATATTTCTGTCTTTATCATCTTTAGACAAAGAGCTGAATCATCTCTGTAGCAGCCAACAGCATCTTTATTTGAAAGAAGAAAAGCATGAATTGAGTTATAATCGTCTAGCTGAGGGCATTCCCACTCCAGTAATTAAGAGCGAGTCACTGAAACATTCACGTCTTTATTTATCCTCCAGCTACACGGACGAACACACGCTGACCTCGACTGAGTCACGCAGCAGATAGCACATTGGATTTTCAGAATAAGATGCTCAGAGAGAGTTCAGCTTGATGTGACTCACGTCCTTCAGGGTGATGATGTTGGGATGTTGTCCGTATCTCAGCAGGATCTCCACCTCCTCCGTCGGGTCTTTCTTGGACTTGTTGATGATCTGTGGACAACAGTTTGACGTTACACCGGGGTAATGAAGCCTCGGGGACTCTGCGTGGACGTGGTGCTTGTCTTACCTTGACCGCGTACTCCATGCCGGTCCCTTTGTGTATGCCGCGCTTACAGATGGAGTACGAGCCGACGCCGATGTCCTCTTTGATCTCGTAGGCCTCCGAGAACTGAGACGTGCTCCTGTGGAGCTGCTACATGCGGAGACACAAACGTCGAAGCAGACGTTACTAAGAATACTCATTGATTCAGGGGATTGAAACTTCAGACACCATCGCTCAGTTGACCGACCGAAGACCGATCGATCTCTCTGATCCACTGACATCTGGAGGCTTTTATCAGCCTCAGATCTCCTAATGCTTCTCCACTGAGTCCTCCCTCGTCCTGGAAGCCTTTTATCCGGGAGACAAGCTCCGGTTCTAAAGGGGGGGAAGCCTTAAAGCTGCATTCTCTCTAGTGTCCACCAGGGGGCGACTCCTC